AAAAAATAAACCATAAGTCTGTCCTGCTTTATAAATCAAAAGTATAAAATATCACTGGCAGGAAGTGGTCTCTGGAATCAGAGAATGTTACTGTTTGTTTTGTGAGCTTGTGAAGAATATTAGACAACATTTTCAATATCTTTCTTATATTACTTGCAATTCACTATGGTCACAAACACTGTCTTTCATGTTCTACTGGAGGATTTTCAGCAGGAGGCTGGAAATCAGTCTGTCATGAGTTAACTAAGAACATTTCTCATAATTCTAAACACTGGCCTTCCTTCTGTACCTTGCTATTGTTTTGCACCTCTTTTTTTAATGGAGCTCAAATGCACATTCTCTAGAATTTATATTTGTCTACTAGCAAAAACAGTTCTATTACCTCGGGTCTCATCCTTAAGAATTTCTCTTCATTGCTGTCTTTGCACAGACTAATTCAATCTGAACTGACAAAAACCGTGTCTCGTATTACTTACAGGCTTTCGTTATTTATGTTGAAGGTATGTCAGTTGTTCTCTGAAGGAAGTATTAATAGGTCTCTATTCTTCATATTTTTCAGATACCCTGACAGTGTTTACAGATTAGTCCTACATCTTACTCAGTTTCAAAGCCAATTAATTGTGGAGAACACAGAAGACAGCAGTAAATTCTACCCAAATCCATCAGCATTACAATTAACTCTCATATTTTTCAACAGACTGGGGGTGGACAAGTCTTATCAAAAAGAACAAACAATCCACCTCAAAAGGCTTTCATGATTTATATATAAGTGAATCTACTAGCATCTTAAGCAACTACCCCTTACCAAGCCCTGGAGAGCCAAGGGGTACAGTGCTGATAACCCCAAGATTCTGGGTTCCAATCACCCTATGGACCATTCACTTCAGAGTTGGACTTGATGGTCTTTGTGGGTCTTCTTCGACTGAGAATATTCTGTGATCTGTGATAGCCTTTGGGTGTTGCCATCTGGAGCTCTTCTGAGAGCTGCTGTTACACACATATCCACACCCTGATATCTTTCCCAGTATCTCCCAGTGTGCTAAGTAATGAGGGTGATCAGGAGTTGTGATAATAGCATGTAGACAGAAACAGATGGGACTCAGGATTTAAACAGTTACAATTCTTGGTTAAGGAAACTAAATTTCTTCCCATTGTCAGCCTGTTCTTAAAAAGCTATGTCACAGCATGCCCATCAACGATTACTTACTAGCCAATAAACAACTAGAAAAAATCAAAATATTTGTATCACTGAAAGGAAAATCAGATGACATTTCAGATTTGCTCTTTTCAATAAAGAAGAACAGTGAAGGATTCTTCATAATTAAACCAACTGCAGCACTATTTAGATCAAACAAGCCCTGCAACTGTGAAGCAATGTGCTGCTGAATTGTATTTGTTTGCAAAAGTTAATGACTGGCAGCCTGTTATACTGAAAAATGCACAAAATCAATACTGATATAAAACTCCAGAGCTGGCTGTCACAAAATACTTTGATTAGTCTGAAATAACAGGATTGTTTAGTATGGTTATATGTATGCCACTATCACCAGAATGCCCATGAACTTCAATCTATTGATACTGAAAAGTCTCAGAACATCAGGCAAGGAAGCTGTCAGGGACAGAAAAATAGGCATGTCAATTCCAAATACAACTGGTGACAGAGGTGGAAAACTTCACAGCTATCTCACACCATTTTTATCACTGTAACCACCTGTAATTTAGAAAAGATATTCAAAGCATAAGCCTAGTGTAAACAGGTGAAAAGGATGGGAAAGTTAAATCCAGAATGCTAAAACGCTTCTTTCAAGCTAAGTGTTACTATACATTAAGAAAGCAGGAGTGGTTGGAAGTTACTGACCCATCCCAAATATCCCAAGCCTTGACACCATTAAGCCTAAATCAGTTTCCAGAAAAGCAGTCAGAATGGATGTTGCTTTGTAGCTGCTGAAGAGAAGGCAGTGGAGTGGTGCCCTCAGATGAGTTTCTGTTAATAGTGTTGACTCTTCTGTGCAATGAGAAAACAACTAAAATTATTTTTTTTTTATAAAATAAGATCCTCTGAATTTTATTATAAAGAGGAGAGATTGTATCTTCTACTGAATAGTACAGAAAAGAAAACCCAGTGAAATACACTCATTTAATTCATATTTTCTCAAATGCATTGAAGCTTTCTCCAAGTAAAACAAAACTCCCAGAGATATAATGCTCAACACTTTTACTTTTTTTTTATAGAGGCTTAATGGCAAGATGTTTTTGAAAAAAATGAAAATAAATATAATGAGACTGTTTCTGACACCTATTTTTTTTCTGTGGAAGAAAATAATATTTTCTATTTTAATTTCCAGAGGAAAAAAAACTTTAGACTTTTTTTCAGAGAAAAATATCAAATGGTCATGACAAAAGATTAAGAGTTAGTGTTTTCCTTTATGCATTTCTGGACATCTAAATACTTTTCAGGTAATGGTCCCCTCTAGTGAAAGACTGCACAGAAAAGTGAATG